CAATTCCACCAAGATCACTTATTCCATTAATTCTTAACTTATTACCTTCATTAACATTCTCTTTTCTATTTTTAGGGGCCTTCCTATTGTGGTTAACTTACCCTTTTTTTAATTGCAGGTACTTGACAATGATTACTTGCGAAACTATTTCACTCAGAATGTTCTATGGCACAAAAGACTGGCTTATTATGAAGTTTCTGATCAACTACAGACCAAAGATTATATTGCTAATCGTGCCTATTATGAACGTCATACTAAACAATGCACAAGATGTAAAATGGATGCGACCATACTGACGATGAATCATTCAAAACTTCTATCAACTTTCGATGGTAGGATAGAGGCCTACCACAGTTTTAATGGGTAACGAGAAATTAAGGTCCGATTCCGCCCGTGTTTCCGATTTTCTAAATTAGCCTATTTTCTGTTTCATAAGGAGAGGGAGTTTGATAAACGACCACTACATTCAAAGAAAACAGTGGGCGCGCAAATTACCCAATTTTGCCCGGAACGGTGGTGATAATAAATAACCATACAAACTCCTTTGGGTCTTGTAACGAAATGAATACAATTTAAATTCCTTACCGAAGAGCAATTTGAGAACGATTCTGGTGCCAATAGTTTATATTAAAGTTGTTGCAGTATCGTTTGTACTAGTACGTAGAATTCTACCTTCTAGTGAACCATTATGCTGTAATTTAGCGTGGTGGAAATTAGACTTAATAAAATTAGAGTATTGTCTGTGACATATAGTGATCCTGGCAGATCTTTATAGGCTATGACTAAGCTGATATGTTGGAATCTTTGGAATTTACCTAAAAATTTGGTTTAACCTTGCTCGTATCTTATGCTTGTTGATTTTCCTCGTCAGAAACTTAAGAATGTATAATACCGGTTTTGGTCGTAATTACTATCAATCAAGCAGATTCTAAAAAAAAAAAATCAACGGTTAAGCTTATAATTTGATTTAACCGATTTTTTTTACTATTGACCATGATCATCACGAGAGAATGGGGCATGAACAATATAATATGGTTGAACATTATAATCAAGGGTGTTGTGAATAACTTGAAGATGATGCAAAGGAAATGTCATCGTTATAGGCTTTGATTATGCTACGTGTGTCAACGTGAAGGGTATTTAGCTCGCCTTTACCCGGATCAAATGAAACATAAGGCTTGGCACGAGATATGAAGGTCCCTAAAAATAGAAAAGAGAATGTTAATGAAGGTAATAAGTTAAGAATTAATGGAATAAGTGATCTTGGTGGAATTG